AAAAGCATATATACAAGTTGGTGTCGAGTATAAATGTGTATATTTAAGTTGGTGTCAAGTATAAAAGTATATATACAAGTTGGTGTCGAGTATAAAAGTATATATACAAGTTGGTGTCAAGCATAAAAGTATATATACAAGTTGGTGTGGAGTATAAAAGTATATATACAAGTTGGTGTCAAGTATAAAAGTATACATACAAGTTGGTGTCAAGTATAAAAGTATATATACAAGTTGGTGTAGAGTATAAAAGTATACATACAAGTTGGTGTCGTGTATAAAAGTATATATAGAAGCTGGTGTCGAGTATAATAGTATACATACAAGTTGGTGTCGAGTATAAAAGTATATATACAAGTTGGTGTCGAGTATAATAGTATACATACAAGTTGGTGTCAAGTATAAAAGTATATATACAAGTTGGTGTCAAGTATAAAAGTATACATACAAGTTGGTGTCAAGTATAAAAGTATATATTCAAGTTGGTGCAGAGTATAAAAGTATATATACAAGTTGGTGTCGAGTATAAAAGCATATATACAAGTTGGTGTCGAGTATAAATGTGTATATATAAGTTGGTGTCAAGTATAAAAGTATATATACATGTTGGTGTCGAGTATAAAAGTACATATATACAAGTTGGTGTCGAGTATAAAAGTATATATACAAGTTGGTGTCGAGTATAATAGTATACATACAAGTTGGTGTCAAGTATAAAAGTATGTATACATGTTGGTGTCGAGTATAAAAGTATATATAGAAGTTGGTGTCGAGTATAAAAGTGTATATATAAGTTGGTGTCAAGTATAAAAGTATATATACAAGTTGGTGTGGAGTATAAAAGTATATATACAAGTTGGTGTCGAGTATAATAGTATACATACAAGTTGGTGTCGAGTATAAAAGTATATATACAAGTTGGTGTCGTGTATAAAAGCATATATACAAGTTGGTGTCGAGTATAAATGTGTATATTTAAGTTGGTGTCAAGTATAAAAGTATATATACAAGTTGGTGTCAAGTGTAAAAGTATACATTTAAGTTGGTGTCAAGTATAAAAGTATATATACAAGTTGGTGTCGAGTATAAAAGTATATATACAAGTTGGTGTCAAACATAAAAATATATATACAAGTTGGTGTCAAGTATAAAGGTGTATATACAAGTTGGTGTCGATTATAAAAGTATACATAGAAGTTAGTGTCGAATGTAGAAGTATATATACAAGTTGGTGTCAAGTATAAAAGTATATATAGAAGTTGGTGTCAAGCATAAAAGTATATATACAAGTTGGTGTCAAGTATAAAAGTATACATTTAAGTTGGTGTCAAGTATAAAAGTATATATACAAGTTGGTGTCAAGTATAAAAGTACATATATACAAGTGGGTGTCAAGTATAAAAGTATATATAGAAGTTGGTGTCAAGTATAAAAGTATATATATAAGTTGGTGTCGAGTATAAAAGTATATATAGAAGTTGGTGTCAAGCATAAAAGTGTATATATAAGTTGGTGTCGAGTATACAATTATACATACAAGTTGGTGTCGAGTATAAAAGTATATATACAAGTTGGTGTCAAGTATAAAAGTATATATACAAGTTGGTGTGGAGTATAAAAGTATATATATAAGTTGGTGTCGAGTATAATAGTATACATACAAGTTGGTGTCAAGTATAAAAGTATATATACAAGTTGGTGTCGAGTATAAAAGTATATATAGAAGTTGGTGTCGAGTATAAAAGTATATATAAGTTGGTGTCAAGTATAAAAGTATATATACAAGTTGGTGTGGAGTATAAAAGTATATATACAAGCTGGTGTCGAGTATAATAGTATACATACAAGTTGGTGTCGAGTATAAAAGTATATATACAAGTTGGTGTCGTGTATAAAAGCATATATACAAGTTGGTGTCGAGTATAAATGTGTATATTTAAGTTGGTGTCAAGTATAAAAGTATATATACAAGTTGGTGTCGAGTATAAAAGTATATATACAAGTTGGTGTCAAGCATAAAAGTATATATACAAGTTGGTGTGGAGTATAAAAGTATATATACAAGTTGGTGTCAAGTATAAAAGTATACATACAAGTTGGTGTCAAGTATAAAAGTATATATACAAGTTGGTGTAGAGTATAAAAGTATACATACAAGTTGGTGTCGTGTATAAAAGTATATATAGAAGCTGGTGTCGAGTATAATAGTATACATACAAGTTGGTGTCGAGTATAAAAGTATATATACAAGTTGGTGTCGAGTATAATAGTATACATACAAGTTGGTGTCAAGTATAAAAGTATATATACAAGTTGGTGTCAAGTATAAAAGTATACATACAAGTTGGTGTCAAGTATAAAAGTATATATTCAAGTTGGTGCAGAGTATAAAAGTATATATACAAGTTGGTGTCGAGTATAAAAGCATATATACAAGTTGGTGTCGAGTATAAATGTGTATATATAAGTTGGTGTCAAGTATAAAAGTATATATACATGTTGGTGTCGAGTATAAAAGTACATATATACAAGTTGGTGTCGAGTATAAAAGTATATATACAAGTTGGTGTCGAGTATAATAGTATACATACAAGTTGGTGTCAAGTATAAAAGTATGTATACATGTTGGTGTCGAGTATAAAAGTATATATAGAAGTTGGTGTCGAGTATAAAAGTGTATATATAAGTTGGTGTCAAGTATAAAAGTATATATACAAGTTGGTGTGGAGTATAAAAGTATATATACAAGTTGGTGTCGAGTATAATAGTATACATACAAGTTGGTGTCGAGTATAAAAGTATATATACAAGTTGGTGTCGTGTATAAAAGCATATATACAAGTTGGTGTCGAGTATAAATGTGTATATTTAAGTTGGTGTCAAGTATAAAAGTATATATACAAGTTGGTGTCGAGTATAAAAGTATATATACAAGTTGGTGTCAAGTATAAAAGTATATATACAAGTTGGTGTGGAGTATAAAAGTATATATACAAGTTGGTGTCAAGTATAAAAGTATACATACAAGTTGGTGTCAAGTATAAAAGTATATATACAAGTTGGTGTGGAGTATAAAAGTATATATACAAGTTGGTGTCGAGTATAATAGTATACATACAAGTTGGTGTCGAGTATAAAAGTATATATAGAAGTTGGTGTCAAGCATAAAAGTATATATAGAAGTTGGTGTCAAGCATAAAAGTATATATACAAGTTGGTGTCAAGTATAAAAGTATACATTTAAGTTGGTGTCAAGTATAAAAGTATATATACAAGTTGGTGTCAAGTATAAAAGTACAAATATACAAGTTGGTGTCCAGTATAAAAGTATATATATAAGTTGGTGTCGAGTATAAAAGTATATATACAAGTTGGTGTCAAGTATAAAAGTATATATATAAGTTGGTGTCGAGTATAAAAGTATATATAGAAGTTGGTGTCGAGTATAAAAGTGTATATATAAGTTGGTGTCGAGTATAAAAGTATATATACAAGTTGGTGTCGAGTATAAAAGTATATATACAAGTTGGTGTCAAGCATAAAAGTATATATACAAGTTGGTGTCAAGTATAAAAGTATATATATAAGTTGGTGTCGAGTATAAAAGTATATATAGAAGTTGGTGTCGAGTATAAAAGTGTATATATAAGTTGGTGTCAAGTATAAAAGTATATATACAAGTTGGTGTCAAGTATAAAAGTATATATATAAGTTTGTGTCGAGTATAAAAGTATATATAGAAGTTGGTGTCGAGTATAAAAGTGTATATATAAGTTGGTGTAGAGTATAAAAGTATATATACAAGTTAGTTTGGAGTATAAAAGTATATATACAAGTTGGTGACAAGTATAAGAGTATATATACAAGTTGGTGTCGAGTATAAAAGTATGTATACAAGTTGGTGTCGAGTATATAAGTATATATACAAGTTGGTGTCAAGTATAAACGCATTTTACAAGTTGGTGTCAAGTATAAAAGGATATATACAAGTTGGTGTCAAGTATAAAATTATATATACGAGTTGGTGTCAAGTATAAAAGTATATATACAATTTGGTGTAGAGTATAAAAGTATATATACAAGTTTTTGACGTTGCGGATGTTGAACTTCTTGGGGTATTTTGGTTTGTTTGCTGTTTAACGCCACACTCAGGAATAACCCAGCTATATGGCGACGTAAATAATCGAGTCTGGAACAGACAATCCAGTGATTGACACCATGAGCATTGACCCACACAATTTAGATACCGTGACATGCATAAACCAAGTCAGCGAGCCTGACCGTCCGATCCCGTCAGTCGCCTCTGACAAGCATAGTCGCCTTTTACGGCAAGCATGGGTTGCTGAAGATCTGTTCGTCACGGGTCCGCGGATATTGGAGGACGAAGTACTATGGATACTGAACGGTCAAGACTGAGAGAATAAGTTCCATCTGCTACGCTCCCTCATCCGATGGTTTCAACCATCACTTTAAACTCCTACAACTTCTTTCCGGCCTCATCCTGCTAACGTGAACTCATGGACTGACCTCGTGTCAGAGTTCACGTGCATTGCACATTGTTGGAGGTGGAGCTAACTCGACCATCCGCCATCTCTGTCTGGAGAGTCATTCACATACTGCCCTAAAAGACCATTCATCAGTAGTCAGTAGGTTCAAGTCAATTATTACATCACGTGGAGCCTGTTCACCCACACACCCTTCTCTGTGAGTATGGTCATGCATACCTTTCATCCATATTCAGAGTCTCAAGGTCGTTATAAACGGCCGGGCCAAAGAAAGTATACACTTGAAAATTGCATTTGACAAAAATTACAAACATTATCAAAATAGGCTGAAAATAGTCGCCGAATCACTGCAAACGTAAACATAACAATGATACCTGTATCAAATACATCGCCATCGTATAATATCATGGTTTGTTTAATTGCTAGCCACCATCAGACATGGGTGTATACTTTCTTTGCCCGGTAGTGTTCTACCAGCAGGTGGCGCTGACTCACCCATACAGCCTCCTTGTACAGCGGAATACACGGCAAAGGCGGGGAACGACGTCAGGAAAGGACACAGCAACGTCCCCACTCCACACAGCAGCAGGGCAACGCCCAGTATGAGTGTCCTGCTGACAAAGGGGAAGTCACTCACCCAGGCGACTGGTATTCTCAGTACCACCCCCACAATACCCATGATGGACAGAAGGTACGCTACTTCATCCCTCCGCACGCCGCTCTGCAGCGCGAGGTCAGGCATGTGCACGATGGGGACGCCGTACCCGAAGTAGCAGAACAAAGTTCCCAGAGCAAAGAACGAGAACCGGATGTCCTTGAAGACAGAAAAGAAATCTTGAAGATGGCGTGTCCGTGTTAAGTTCTTGTTGACATCTTCCACTGTAATGAAAACACACGGGGTAAGTAGGGGTAAAGTCCCAACTGGGGTTGCTGTAGAATCAAACCTGGGCGTTAGTCGTGATAAGCGAACGCTCTAACCACTAGCCTACCACACCGCACAGCCTTTAGTAAGAACGGAGTGTGAAAAATTAATATCCCAGATGTATTCATTCATAAATTAACCTTATTCCCTGAGCCGAACCATTTCATAATAAGCCGTGAGTGCGTGAGGGAGGGAGGGAGGGAGGGAGTGACGGAGTTGCAGCTTAACCGCCCATGCCCCTAAACAAACAGGAATGACGAGGTTAACAGGGCACAGCACTTCAGTCACGTGACCGACAGTGAATCCCAGACCATACTGAATTTAGGTGTAAAGCCAGCTTGTAAAGTGTGTCAGTTGCATGATTCAAAGAGCAATACTCCCAGGTAACATTGCAATACTCCCAGATAACATTGCAATAGCCGCATATAACATTGCAATACTCCCAGATGACATTGCAATAGCCGCATATAACATTGCAACAGTCCCAGATAACATTGCAATAGCCGCATATAACATTGCAATACTCCCAAGTAAAATTGCAATAGCCGCATGTAACATTGCTACAGTCCCAGATATCATTGCAACAGCCGCATGTAACATTGCAATACTCCCAAGTAACATTGCAATAGCCGCATGTAACATTGCAACACTCCCAGATAGCATTGCAATAGCCGCATGTAACATTGCAAAAATCCCAGATAACATTGCAATAGCCGCATATAACATTGCAACAGTCCCAGATAACATTGCAATAGCCGCATATAACATTGCAATACTCCCAGGTAACATTGCAATAGCCGCATGTAACATTGCAACAGTCCCAGATAACATTGCAATAGCCGCATGTAACATTGCAACATTCCCAGATAACATTGCAATAGCCGCATGTAACATTGCAACAGTCCCCGATAACAATGACATAGGCGCATGTAACATTGCAATACTCCCATGTAACATTGCAATAGCCTCATGTAACATTGCAACAGTCCCAGATAACATTGCAATAGCCGCATGTAACATTGCAATACTCCCATGTAACATTGCAATAGCCTCATGTAACATTGCAACAGTCCCAGATAACATTGAAATAGGCGCATGTTACATTGAAATACTCCCAAGTAAAATTGCAATAGCCGCATGTAACATTGCTACAGTCCCAGATATCATTGCAACAACAGCATGTAACATTGCAATACTCCCAAGTAACATTGCAACAGCCGCATGTAACATTGCAATAGTCCCAGATAACATTGCAATAGCCGCATATAACATTGCAACAGTCCCAGATAACATTGAAATAGGCGCATGTAACATTGCAACAGTCCCAGATAACATTTCAAAAGCCGCATGTAACATTGCAATACTCCCAAGTAACATTGCAATAGCGGCATCTAACATTGCAATACTCCCAGATAACATTGCAAAAGCCGCATGTAACATTGCAACAGTCCCAGATAACATTGCAATAGCCGCATATAACATTGCAATACTCCCAAGTAAAATTGCAATAGCCGCATGTAACATTGCTACAGTCCCAGATATCATTGCAACAGCCGCATGTAACATTGCAATACTCCCAAGTAACATTGCAACAGCCGCATGTAACATTGCAATAGTCCCAGATTACATTGCAATAGCCGCATATAATCTTGCAACAGTCCCAGATAACATTGAAATAGGCGCATGTAACATTGCAACAGTCCCAGATAACATTGCAAAAGCCGCATGTAACATTGCAATTCTCCATGATAACATTGCAATAGCCGCATGTAACATTGCAATACTCCCAGATTGCATTGCAATAGCCGCATGTAACATTGCAATACTCCCAGGTAACATTGCACAAGCCGCATGTAACATTGCAATAGCCGCATGTATCATTGCAATTCTCCGAAGTAACATTGCAATAGCCGCATGTATCATTGTAATACTCCCAGGTAACATTGCAATAGCCGCATGTAACATTGCAATAGCCGCATGTAACATTGCAATACTCCCATACAACATTGCAATAGCCGCATGTAACATTGCAATACTCCCAGATAACATTGCAATAGCCGCATGTAACATTGCAATACTCCCAGATAACATTGCAATAGCCGCATGTAACATTGCAATACTCCCTGATAACATTGCAATAGCCGCATGTAACATTACAATAGCCGCATGTAACATTGTAATACTCCCAGGTAACATTGCAAAAGCCGCATGTAACATTGCAATAGCCGCATGTAACATTGCAATACTCCCAGATAACATTGCAATAGCCGCATGTAACACTGCAATAGCCGCATGTAACATTGCAATACTCCCAGGTAACATTGCAATAGCCGCATGAAACATTGCAATACTCCCAGATAACATTGCAATAGCCGCATGTTACATTGCATTAGCCGCATGTAACATTGCAATAGCCGCATGTAACATTGCAATACTCCCAAGTAACATTGCAATAGCCGCATCTAACATTGCAATACTCCCAAGTAACATTGCAATAGCCGCATGTAACATTGCAATGCTCCCAGATAACATTGCAATAGCCGCATGTAACATTGCAATACTCCCAGATAACATTGCAATAGCCGCATATAACATTGCATTAGCCGCATGTAACATTGTATACTCCCAGGTAGCATTGCAATAGCCGCATGTAACATTGCATTAGCCGCATGTAACATTGCAATACTCCCAGATAACATTGCAATACCCGCATGTAACATTGCAATACTCCCAGATAACATTGCAATAGCCGCATGTAACATTGCAATAGCCGCATGTAACATTGTAATACTCCCAGGTACTATTGCAATAGCTGCATGTAACATTGCATTAGCCGCATGTAACATTGCAATAGCCGCATGTAACATTGCAATAGCCGCATGTAACATTGCATTAGCCGCATGTAACATTGCAACAGTCCCAGATAACATTGCAATAGCCGCATGTAACATTGCAATACTCCATGATAACATTGCAATAGCCGCATGTAACATTGCATTAGCCGCATGTAACATTGCAATACGCCCAGGTTACATTGCAATAGCCGCAAGTAACATTGTAATACTCCCAGGTAACATTGCAAAAGCCGCATGTAACATTGCAATAGTTGCATGTAACATTGCAATAGCCGCATGTAACATTGCATTAGCCGCATGTAACATTGCAATACTCCCAGATAACATTGCAATAGCCGCATGTAACATTGCAATACTCCATGATAACATTGCAATAGCCGCATGTAACATTGCATTAGCCGCATGTAAGATTGCAATACTCCCAGGTTACATTGCAATAGCCGCAAGTAACATTGTAATACTCCCAGGTAACATTGCAAAAGCCGCATGTAACATTGCAATAGTTGCATGTAACATTGCAATAGCCGCATGTAACATTGCATTAGCCGCATGTAACATTGCAATACTCCCAGATAACATTGCAATAGCCGCATGTAACATTGCAATACTCCATGATAACATTGCAATAGCCGCAAGTAACATTGTAATACTCCCAGGTAACATTGCAAAAGCCGCATGTAACATTGCAATAGTTGCATGTAACATTGCAATAGTCCCAGATAACATTGCAATAGCCGCATGTAACATTGCAATAGCCGCATGTAACATTGTAATACTCCCAGGTAACATAGCAATAGCCGCATGTAACATTGCATTAGCCGGATGTAACATTGCAATACTCCCAGATAACATTGCAATAGCCGCATGTAACATTGCAATAGCCGCATGTAACATTGTAATACTCCCAGGTAACATTGCAATAGCCGCATGAAACATTGCAATACTCCCAGGTAACATTGCAATACCCGCATGTAACATTTCATAGGCCGCATGTAACATTGCAACAGCCGCATGTAACATTGCAATACTCCAAGATAACATTGCAATAGCCGCATGTAACATTGCAATACTCCCAAGTAACATTGCAATGCTCCCAGATAACATTGCAATAGCCGCATGTAACATTGCAATACTCCCAGGTAGCATTGCAATAGCCGCATGAAACACTGTAATACTCCCAGGTAACATTGCAATAGCCGCATGTAACATTGTAATACTCCCAGGTAACATTGCAATAGCCGCATGTAACATTGCAATACTACCAGATAACATTGCAATAGCCGCATGTAACATTGTAATACTCCCAGATAACATTGCAATAGCCGCATGTAACATTGCAATAGCCGCATTTAACATTGTAATACTCCCAGGTAACATTGCAATAGCCGCATGTAACATTGTAATACTCCCAGGTAACATTGCAATAGCCGCATGTAACATTGCAATAGCCGCATGTAACATTGCAATACTCCCAGTTAACATTGCAATAGCCGCATGTAACATTGCAATACTACCAGATAACATTGCAAAAGGCGCATGTTACATTGCAATAGCCGCATGTAACATTGCAATACTCCCAGGTAACATTGCAATAGCCGCATGTAACATTGTAATACTCCCAGGTAACATTGCAATAGCCGCATGTAACATTGCAATAGCCGCATGTAACATTGCAATACTCCCAGGTAACATTGCAATAGCCGCATGTAACATTGTAATACTCCAAGGTAACATTGCAATAGCCGCATGTAACATTGTAATACTCCCAGGTAACATTGCAATAGCCGCATGTAACATTGCAATAGCCGCATGTAACATTGCAATACTCCCAGGTAACATTGCAATAGCCGCATGTAACATTGTAATACTCACAGGTAACATTGCAATAGCCGCATGTAACATTGCAATAGCCGCATGTAACATTGCAATACTCCCAGGTAACATTGCAATAGCCGCATGTAACATTGCAATACTACCAGATAACATTGCAAAAGCCGTATGTTACATTGCAATAGACCAAGCAACGCATCCTTGTTGCAAGAGGCGACAAAATTGATCAAGTGGTCAGGCTTGATAACCTGGCTGAGAGCTTGTCTTCGTTTTCCAATGGCGTGGATCGTTGCTCACACCTCGATCACAGGATTGTCTGACCAAAACTCGATTACTTACAAGCCGCCGTCATAAAACTGGAATATTGCCGAGTGCGGCGTTAGACGGACACACAAACAAACCTAGACACAAATACAAACAACACAAGGGGCCACAACGTGTCAGATACAGATGCTGTGCATCATGTGTTACAGTTTCTGGTTTTCAGAACAACACTGAAGAAATAGACCCCGTTCCCCAAAGAGATTCAGTGCCACCCTAATGTTGTGATACAGCCGTACAGTCGTACTGCTCAGATCTCTTTGTGGGACGGACTCGGCTCTTTCTAAATTTAACAGTTGACTTAAGGTGATTACCACTGACCTTCACGGGTGAGCTTGCGTTTTTTTAAATAATCAGGTTGTCGAAACACGGCTCCACACACCGCAGCGTTCAGTGTGAGCCCGGAGATGATCCACATGGTGCCCCTCCAGCCGAACGCCTTGATGAGCTCTGTGTACACCAGGGGGAGCAGCATGGCCCCTATACCTCCCCCGGTCGACCCGATAGCGCTGGCGAAACCCCTTTTCTTGTCAAAGTATTGGAAGATAATCACTGCAGAGGGGATAAACGTTAATCCTAATCCACTACCTGAAAATGAACAAAGTTTTAATGGATTTGTTTCTTCATCTGCATTAACGATTCATCTGCCCGAACTCTATATCAATTTGAGACTACGTGGACTTATGTTATTTTGTTTCTTTGTTGTTTATCGTCGCACTCAGCAATAGTCCAGCTAGATGACGGCGGTCTGTAAATAATCGAGTCTGGACCAGACAATTCAGTGTTTGATATCACGAGCATCGATCCACGTAATTGGGATACGATGACATGCATCAACCGAGCCTGACCATCCGGTACCGTTAGTCGCCTCTTACGATACGCATGGTCGCCTTTTATGGCAAGCAGGGGGTGCTGAAGATCCATTCGAACCCGGAGCTTCACGGGACTGTTAACTTATGGTCCAAGCTGAATCCTTATATTATTGTTGTCGTGCCCTTGTTTGGTATTCCGGGTTCGAATTGGTTCCCGGGCACCTGAGTTGATCGTAAATGGGGGCATATGGATTCGGCGGTCAGACTCAGTGAATGTAATGACTGCGTGGTTTTGTACCCAACAGTGGGGATCGTTGCTCACAATATCAATCACTGGATTGCCTGGTCCAAACTAAATACGTTACAGACAGCTAACATATTGCGGCATCAAACACCAAACTAACAAACACACAGTCGCACGTTGCGTTGTTTAATTAGTACATTCTAATAGCGAGTATTCCGTCTGTTTTGAACTGCAGTATGTAAACAATAATGGTCAGTTTTACACAGTGACAAACGAGGTTTGATATCCAGTGCCCGGTGACTTCAGCTGTCCCTCAATGTGCTCACGTCACGTTGTTCAAAGCATTAACTCGACATCCACGAATAAAACATGTGCTCCTCTTCCTTTGACCTTGAGTACACTTTGATGACTTAGATGACATTCGATTTTCGCATATTATTTAACTACTCTTTTGTTTTCTTCTCATAACTGCACCCCGATTATATTTCAGTGTTTGTCAGCACCATACCCGTGCACGTGGTTTTCACGAAAGTGGTAGAAGTCTGAGGCTTAATTTACTTTCGGCTTTCCTCCCACATCAAGATGACACACCGTGATATAACTGGAATACTCCCACATCAAGATGACACACCGTGATATAACTGGAATACTCCCACATCAAGATGACACACCGTGATATAACTGGAATACTCCCACATCAAGATGACACACCGTGATATAACTGGAATACTCCCACATCAAGATGACACACCGTGATATAACTGGAATACTCCCACATCAAGATGACACACCGTGATATAACTGGAATACTCCCACATCAAGATGACACACCGTGATATAACTGGAATACTCCCACATCAAGATGACACACCGTGATATAACTGGAATACTCCCACATCAAGATGACACACCGTGATATAACTGTAATACTCCCACATCAAGATGACACACCGTGATATAACTGGAATACTCCCACATCAAGCTGACACACCGTGATATAACTGTAATACTCCCACATCAAGATGACACACCGTGATATAACTGGAATACTCCCACATCAAGATGACACACCGTGATATAACTGGAATACTCCCACATCAAGATGACACACCGTGATATAACTGGAATACTCCCACATCAAGATGACACACCGTGATATAACTGTAATACTCCCACATCAAGATGACACACCGTGATATAACTGGAATACTCCCACATCAAGATGACACACCGTGATATAACTGGAATACTCCCACATCAAGATGACACACCGTGATATAACTGGAATACTCCCACATCAAGATGACACACCGTGATATAACTGGAATACTCCCACATCAAGATGACACACCGTGATATAACTGGAATACTCCCACATCAAGATGACACACCGTGATATAACTGGAATACTCCCACATCAAGATGACACACCGTGATATAACTGGAATACTCCCACATCAAGATGACACACCGTGATATAACTGTAATACTCCCACATCAAGATGACACACCGTGATATAACTGTAATACTCCCACATCAAGATGACACACCGTGATATAACTGGAATACTCCCACATCAAGATGACACACCGTGATATAACTGGAATACTCCCACATCAAGATGACACACCGTGATATAACTGGAATACTCCCACATCAAGATGACACACCGTGATATAACTGGAATACTCCCACATCAAGATGACACACCGTGATATAACTGGAATACTCCCACATCAAGATGACACACCGTGATATAACTGGAATACTCCCACATCAAGCTGACACACCGTGATATAACTGGAATACTCCCACATCAAGATGACACACCGTGATATAACTGGAATACTCCCACATCAAGATGACACACCGTGATATAACTGGAATACTCCCACATCAAGATGACACACCGTGATATAACTGGAATACTCCCACATCAAGATGACACACCGTGATATAACTGGAATACTCCCACATCAAGATGACACACCGTGATATAACTGGAATACTCCCACATCAAGATGACACACCGTGATATAACTGGAATACTCCCACATCAAGATGACACACCGTGATATAACTGGAATACTCCCACATCAAGATGACACACCGTGATATAACTGTAATACTACCACATCAAGATGACACACCGTGATATAACTGTAATACTACCACATCAAGATGACACACCGTGATATAACTGGAATACTCCCACATCAAGATGACACACCGTGATATAACTGGAATACTGTTCAAAGCGCACATACTCACTCCTTCTCGTAACGTTAACTTCAACGAAAGAAATGAATATTATCATTAGGCTGACCAGATGATAGGCAGTATCAATATTCGACCAGTGTTACATACACACGGGGCGCTTATAAACTTGATACAGATTCCAACTGTTACATCTCTGCAATAAAGGGATCACGTGACCGTAATCATTCACTTCTCAGAGCTAATGCCATGTGCGTCAAACTCGTCAGAAGGCTATTGAAGCATACTTTTTGTTTGATTAATAAATGAACACGCTGCAATGTTTAGCAAATACGGAACATGTATTAATAAACCCACATGAGCACCAGCGTGAAGTCTACTTTAGCGGGTTTGTTTCTTTTCGTATAGTACAGACTTGAAACAATTCATTCACTCGCTTGACTGAAATTGGGAGGACGTGTGGTAGGAGAATTTCGTTGATGTATCGTTGAGCCGTAAGATTGTCCTGAATATGGAACATGATTAGAGATAACCGCCCACATCATAACGCTACCCCCACCACACATGTCCTCTTCCTGTAAGCAGTTTCCGGCATAACGTTCTCCCCGACGTCTGTAGACCCCTGCTCTTCCATCCCCTCGACGGAGCAGAATCTTGATTCGTCGCTGAACAAGACATCCATCGCAGTTGAGACCATACCCCGTGTTGATGACACCGTTGCAGTCGTTGTTGACGATGTTGTGGACTCAATATAATGCGTCAAACAGAACGTCTGCTCTTAAACGGTTTCGTACGGCCTGGTCGGAGATTCTGAGCAGTCCGCGTATTTGGGATGCGGTTGAGGTGCCTGTGGTCTTCCTTTCACGTAGGTGGCGCAGTCGGATGTAGCGATGTTGGGCGGGTGTGATTACTCTTGGTCGGCCTGACCTTAGCCGGTCACGTGTGACCCATGCTGTTGAAACCGATCCCGTAGCCTTGTGATGGTGCTGGGCGCTACATTGAAAACCCTGGCTACAGCTGATCGGGATTCCCATGGCTGCAAGCGGCCTATGACGTTGTTTCTTTGCACTTCTGTTAATCTTGGCATGTTGTTGAACCGTCTCTGTTCGAATGACGCAGATGCCAGGCAATCAAATACCCTGCACTTTAATACCGTTCATAGTGCTGCTGCACGTGCAGTGCGTGCAGCTCCATGGCCCTTTTGTTAATGCACTGGGTGCTTTGTCCGAATCGTACGTGTTTCCCGCCTGATGGTTTTCATGTCCTTGTTGTGATCATTTTGATCCGGGAAATGTATCACTGACACTTTAACACATTAAACCTCTTCATTTTGCACCTCTTGGTCCGCTTGTTTTGCTTGAATGGGAAAAAATATCCGTTTTGCGTTTCTTTTTTGGAAGAGTATATATACATTTCATATTGAAAACCATTTAGATCACACAGTAACCACTAACAACATTGTATTGTATTGCTTCATGCATATACCTTCTCTACGTGGGAAGATATTCAATGTCACCACATGGTATTACCTACCTGCTATAACTCCGTATGTGATGCACAGGTACACTATACCGTTAGCGAACCAGCTGCTAAACAGGGCGACAGACGCTATGGTGGCTCCGATCATGGTCGTGAGGCGGCATCCATAGCGCTCAGTCATCACCCCGGACAGAGGACCTGGAACAGAGACGGAACTAGAGTTCCTTGTCGAGGGAATCATCGTCACTTGTAGCTTGGAGTACATTTCAGTCCAGATTAATGTTTTGTGGTTTGTGTCTTGTTTTACGCCGCACTTAAATTTCCAGCTGTATGACGGTGGCCTGTTAATAAGAGAATCTGGAACAGACAGTCTGGACCAGACAATCCAGTGATTGACAATATGAGCATCGATACACGCAATTTGGAATCGATGACATTCATCAACTAGAGTCAGCGAGGCTGACCACCCGATCCCGTTAGTCGCCTCTTACGACACGCTTAGTCGCGTTTTACGGCAAGCATGGGTTGCTGAAGACCTATTCTACTCCGGATCTTCACGGGTCAGTTGTAGCAGGTGCGCGGTGATGTAACTGACATCGTGCTCAACCATTGTCCTTACTCTTACCTACAAACATGCTGAGTCCGCCTGCCAGAGACCCCACCCATGCCGCCTCGGTCCTGTTGGCGTGAAAGTAGTCAATAAGTTCAATGTAAATGATTCCGAATGCACTCATTGACCCCAGCAGCAGGAAGTGGGTGTAGAAGCGGCCGATAACACACACCCAGCCCCAGCCTCCTTCTGGAACCGTGGCCTCATCCTTCTCCAGGAACACCTGGCTGACATTGTCGGATGTTGCCAGGTCAAGGTCAGGCAGAGCTTCTTTCTTTTCCAGTTCCATGTTGAACTACCCCAACTCTGAAAGAATGAGTGAGTGAGTAGGATTTTACGCCGCTTTTGACAATATTCCAGCAATTTCACGGCAGGTACACCAGAAATGGGCTTCACACATTGCACCCATGTGGGGAATCGAACCCGGGTCTAAAGCGAACGCTTTAACCACTAGGCTACCCAATCACCCAATCACTCTGAAAGTAACCATTGTCACATGTGCGATAGCAAACCTGCATGTAACGTATACATCACCACACGAACTTCTCTAACCAGTCAGTACTTGTTGGTCATACCTCACCTCAAGATCTAGGGTTGCGTACCTTTACCGCGCCAGGATCCGCTACTCGTGATCGAGTTACATTGTAGCCGTCTTCGATCCGCGCCATGTTTGGTCTTCCTCCGACATTAAACTAACACGTTGTGATGACCATTAAAAATACTATTCAAAGCGGTTATAACCAAATATATGACTCACTCACTCACTCATCCGGGTATCGTTGACACATTACCATATCACCAATACAAGACATTTATCCACATAACTCACGTTTCACTGCGTGGTACAGGCTACGGAAAACAGGCAGTTTAAATAATAATATTTCCCAGTATTGAGCCGCGGTCGCTGTGTTACCGCTCTTCTCCAAGAGTGCAAGGACACCCAGGTGTAGGATGTCGACCTGCTATAAATAGACGTGTCAGGGACGATGTTGTGCCGGCGTTCTGAAGGTGTGATCTTGCAAGTTATATTACGTCTGTCAAAGGACACTATTATTAGGGAGCGATCATTTAGGATTTTTGAAGCATGATAATTTCTTCAAAAGAAAAACAAACAAACAATTTTTTAAAGATTTAAAACTAAAATACAAAGTATGGTTGACATAATGGCCCAGCTACACCAATATCCACACCTTCACCGACAACCACACGACATCAACATAACAGACCAACACACCAAAACACACATCCTTCCCCCACGACACACACTGCACACATGCCAACACGACACAAACACACACATGCCAACACGACACACACTGCACACACATGTCAACACGATACAAACACACACATGCCAACACGACACAGACACACACATGCCAACACGACACAGACACACACATGCCAACACGACATAAACACAAACATGCTAACACGACACAAACACACACATGCCTACACGACACAAACACACACATGCCAACACGACACAGACACAAACATGCCAACATGACACAAACACACACATGCCAACACGACACAAACACACACATGCCAACACGACACAAACACACACATACAAATACGACACAAACACACACATGTCAACACGACACAATCACATACATGCCAACACGACACAAACACACACATGCCAACACGACACAAACACACACATGCCAACACGACACAAACACACACATGCCAACACGACACAGACACACACATGCCAACACGACACAAACACACACATGCCAACACGACACAAACACACAAATGCCAACACGACATAAACACACACATACCAACACGACACAAACACACACATACCAACACGACATAGACACACACATGCCAACACGACACAAACATACACATGCCAACACGACACAAACACACACATGCCAACACGACACAAACACACACATGCCAACACGACATAGACACACACATGCCAACACGACACAAACACACACATGCTAACACGACACAAACACACACATACCAACACGACACAAACACACACATACCAACACGACACAGACACACACATGCCAACACGACACAAACACACACATGCCAACACGACACAGACACACACATGCCAACACGACATAAACACACACATGCCAACACGACACAAACACACACATGCCAACACGACACGAACACCCACATGCCAACACGACACAAACATACACATGCCAACACGACACAAACACACACATGCCAACACGACACAAACACACACATGCCAACACGACACAAACATACACATGCTAACACGACACAAACACACACATGCCTACACGACACAGACACACACATGTCAACACGACACAAACACACACATGCCAACACGACACACACTGCACACACATGTCAACACGACACAAACACACACATGCCAACACGACACAGACACACACATGCCAACACGACACAGACACACACATGCCAACACGACATAAACACAAACATGCCAACACGACACAAACACACACATACCAACACGACACAGACACACACATGCCAACACGACACAAACACACACATGCCAACACGACACAAACACACACATGCCAACACGACACAAACACACACATGCCAACACGACACGAACACCCACATGCCAACACGACAGAAACATACACATGCCAACACGACACAGACACACACATGCCAACACGACACAAACACACACATGCCAACACGACACAAACACACACATGCCAACACGACACAAACACACACATGCCAACACGACACAAACACACACATGCCAACACGACACAGACACACACATGCCAACACAACACAAACACACACATGCCAACACGACACAAACACACACATGTCAACACGACACAAACACACACATGCCAACACGACACAGACACACACATGCCAACACGACACAGAAACACACATGCCAACACGACACAAACACACACATGCCAACACGACACAAACACACACATGCCAACACGACACAGACACACACATGCCAACACGACACAAACACACACATGCCAACACGACACAAACACACACATGCCAACACGACACAAACACACAAATGCCAACACGACATAAACACACACATACCAACACGACACAAACACACACATACCAACACGACATAGACACACACATGCCAACACGACACAAACATACACATGCCAACACGACACAAACACACACATGCCAACACGACACAAACACACACATGCCAACACGACATAGACACACACATGCCAACACGACACAAACACACACATGCCAACACGACACAAACACACACATGCCAACACGACACGAACACCCACATGCCAACACGACAGAAACATACACATGCCAACACGACACAGACACACACATGCCAACACGACACAAACACACACATGCCAACACGACACAAACACACACATGCCAACACGACACAAACACACACATGCCAACACGACACAAACACACACATGCCAACACGACACAGACACACACATGCCAACACAACACAAACACACACATGCCAACACGACACAAACACACACATGTCAACACGACACAAACACACACATGCCAACACGACACAGACACACACATGCCAACACGACACAGACACACACATGCCAACACGACACAAACACACACATGCCAACACGACACAAACACACACATGCCAACACGACACAAACACACAAATGCCAACACGACATAAACACACACATACCAACACGACACAAACACACACATACCAACACGACATAGACACACACATGCCAACATGACACAAACATACACATGCCAACACGACACAAACACACACATGCCAACACGACACAAACACACACATGCCAACACGACATAGACACACACATGCCAACACGACACAAACACACACATGCTAACACGACACAAACACACACATACCAACACGACACAAACACACACATACCAACACAACACAGACACACACATGCCAACACAACACAAACACACACATGCCAACACGACACAGACACACACATGCCAACACGACATAAACACACACATGCCAACACGACACAAACACACACATGCCAACACGACACGAACACCCACATGCCAACACGACACAAACATACACATGCCAACACGACACAAACACACACATGCCAACACGACACAAACACACACATGCCAACACGACACAAACATACACATGCCAACACGACACAAACACACACATGCCTACACGACACAGACACACACATGTCAACACGACACAAACACACACATGCCAACACGACACACACTGCACACACATGTCAACACGACACAAACACACACATGCCAACACGACACAGACACACACATGCCAACACGACACAGACACACACATGCCAACACGACATAAACACAAACATGCCAACACGACACAAACACACACATACCAACACGACACAGACACACACATGCCAACACGACACAAACACACACATGCCAACACGACACAAACACACACATGCCAACACGACACAAACACACACATGCCAACACGACACAAACACACACATGCCAACACGACACGAACACCCACATGCCAACACGACACAAACATACACATGCCAACACGACACAGACACACACATGCCAACACGACACAAACACACACATGCCAACACGACACAAACACACACATGCCAACACGACACAAACACACACATGCCAACACGACACAAACACACACATGCCAACACGACACGAACACCCACATGCCAACACGACAGAAACATACACATGCCAACACGACACAGACACACACATGCCAACACGACACAAACACACACATGCCAACACGACACAAACACACACATGCCAACACGACACAAACACACACATGCCAACACGACACAGACACACACATGCCAACACAACACAAACACACACATGCCAACACGACACAAACACACACATGTCAACACGACACAAACACACACATGCCAACACGACACAGACACACACATGCCAACACGACACAGAAACACACATGCCAACACGACACAAACACACACATGCCAACACGACACAAACACACACATGCCAACACGACACAGACACACACATGCCAACACGACACAAACACACACATGCCAACACACACACACTAACACATACTCACGTACACAAACCAACACGCACTCCAACATGTACACATACCAACACACACACTAACACACACTCACGTACACAAACCAACACGCACTCCAACATGTACACATACCAACACAGTCTTTACCATTTTACACATTTGAGATCAATCCGGTGGTTATAAAATGGGTTTCGTGCCATATGTCGAATTTGTTTACGCAACATGTATATCGCCTTCAATTCTATTGATTGAAAAGGAAAGAAAGCTAAAAAAACTTACCTGTGCGGAGCTTTCTTCTGTGTATATATACAACGTGAAATGTGTTCTTGTTCTCTGTTTGTGTCACATATCAACTGTCACCTCCTGCAGACAAGGACTCCACTTCCGTTACATTTAAAGTCTCAAATCAAATTTAAATGTGATAGAGAACAAAAGTGTTCAGTTCGAAACGATAAAAATGTTTTGACACAGAACATAGCTAGTCAATTGAGTAACATTCCTGTCACAGCACACAAGGCATGGTAACATGAGTTATTGCGCCCTCCACACCAGATCGGGAGCGTGACTTGTCTCTGTAGAAAGAGGTCGGTTGATGAATCTTGTCACGCGGAACGTAATGCTTGATAACAAAGGCCACTGGGACACACAGGCGAGGAAAGGATGTCATAGTTCTATCTGTGTGACATGATCGAGAATCTCATAACTATTCAACAGGATCTGATCCTTGGGGTATATACAGCGAACCCCTGTAAGTCCGAACACCTCACAGGCCGACCGTTGACTATTCCGGCGTGTGGTGTTTTACTAGGAAACATATTTTGTTTAGAATAGATAAAATTATTCTTAAAGTTGACACATACTCGTTATAAATGTTCGATGGACATGACTGATGTTGAGGTGAACACTTGACTTACCTTTGCATGTATTTGTGACGGCAGCCAGCGGTCGGGCAAGATGCGCTCACCTTTTCCTGATATAGTCGGAATCGTACAATGGAGTATGGTTTTAGCAGATATTTCTTACGATAATGGGAAAGATTGTCGCTTTTATTTACTAGTTTTGTTATTCACTACTTTAGTTGTTTTCCGTTTTATCCAGTCAGTAATCGAGTTACCGTTATTTCCACATCGATATGAATAATGTTTAAGATTTTCTAGATTCGGAGCTTCCAGTTGAAGAAATCAATCCTTAGAACTATCGCGTGGCTGCTTATATCAGTTGGTGACGCGATCTTCCTCAACTATTGGCCCCGTTAAATTTCACGCTGGTCTACTATCGGGTTATTTCTGGAGCTGTCTGCATTCATATTCCCTTATGTACTGCATTTGCCAATCAGACAGAACAGTCTATATTTGCCAGAACCTTCTACGTTAATTGTAACTGTAACATCTGGAGGTTGAGTGGGTTTAACGTCGCGTTTCAGCTTATTGCACTTATATGTCGACGTGCATGCACTGTGTGTTTGGCTGATTGTACTAGTCCGCACAAAGTCCGGGTTTATATGCTGGCCCACTGAGATACCATGCCGCAGTTTAAAATGTTCGCCATTTTAACGTCTTTTGGTATGATTCGGCCGGGGATAGATCCCCCAACCTTCCTCTCTCCGGGGAAACGCTTGACCACTAGACCATGGAGGCGGTCTGTCACCTTCTGGAACACACTTTCACTGTTCATCGGATATAACGAACTCTGATTATTACGAAGATTATTGAATTACCAAAACTCGAATTTCAGGACAGGAGTGGTAATACATTTCCCGGAGAAAACTGTACCATGCACGCTAGGAAGATGCTACCTCGGCCCCTCTGAAGGACATTGTTATGGGCGGCCGCAGCAAGTCTACATGACCTCCTGTATACTACAACACGACACACAGTATCAGATATCGTATCTGTGCCGGTCACATTCTTGTATAATATATTAATAGTAACTAAATCCCGTGTGCTCACACATCTACCCATGTTTTAGAGCTGAAATGAGTTTTGGTTTTTGACAAAAATTGTTAATCATATGATGCAGCATGGATATCTGGTAGAGGACTAATTATAACACGGGGACTAACACACGTGTTTAGCAGGAGATCCACGTGGATATCTGGTAGAGGACTAACACGGGGACTAACACATGTGTTTAGCTGGAGTTCCACGTGGATATCTGGTAGAGGACTAACACGGGGTCTAACACACGTGTTTAGCAGGAGATCCACGTGGATATCTGGTAGAGGACTAATTATAACACGGGGACTAACACATGTGTTTAGCAGGAGATCCACGTGGATATCTGGTAGAGGACTAACACGGGGACTAACACATGTGTTTAGCTGGAGTTCCACGTGGATATCTGGCAGAGGACTAACACGGGGTCTAACACACGTGTTTAGCAGGAGATCCACGTGGATATCTGGTAGAGGACTAACACGGGGACTAACACATGTGTTTAGCTGGAGTTCCACGTGGATATCTGGTAGAGGACTAACACGGGGTCTAACACACATGTTTAGCAGGAGATCCACGTGGATATCTGGTAGAGGACTAACATGGGGTCTAACACACATGTTTAGCAGGAGATCCACGTGGATATCTGGTAGAGGACTAACACGGGGACTAACACACATGTTTAGCAGGAGATCCACGTGGATATCTGGTAGGGGACTAACACGGGGACTAACACACGTGTTCAGCAGAGTTCCACGTGGATATCTGGTAGAGGACTAACACGGGGACTAACACACGTGTTTAGCAGGAGATCCACGTGGATATCTGGTAGAGGACTAACACGGGGACTAACACACATGTTTAGCAGGAGATCCACGTGGATATCTGGTAGAGGACTAACACGGGGACTAACACACGTGTTCAGCAGAGTTCCACGTGGATATCTGGTAGAGCACAAACACGGGGACTAACGCACGTGTTTAGCAGGAGATCCACGTGGATATCTGGTAGAGGACTAACACGGGGTCTTACACACGTGTTTTGCAGGAGTTCCACGTGGATATCTGGTAGAGGACTAACACGGGGACTAACACACGTGTTTAGCAGGAGATCCACGTGGATATCTGGTAGAGGACTAACACGGGGACTAACACACATGTTTAGCAGGAGATCCACGTGGATATCTGGTAGAGGACTAACACGGGGACTAACACGGGGACTAACACGGGGACTAACAAACGTGTTTAGCAGGAGATCCACGTGGATACCTGGTAGAGGACTAACACGGGGACTAACACACGTGTTTAGCAGGAGATCCACGTGGATATCTGGTAGAGGACTAACACGGGGACTAACACACGTGTTTAGCAGGAGATCCACGTGGATATCTGGTAGAGGACTAACACGGGGACTAACACACGTGTTTAGCAGGAGTTCCACGTGGATATCTGGTAGAGGACTAACACGGGGACTAACACACGTGTTTAGCAGGAGATCCACGTGGATATCTGGTAGAGGACTAACACGGGGTCTAACACACGTGTTAAGCAGGAGATCCACGTGGATACCTGGTAGAGGACTAACACGGGGACTAACACACGTGTTTAGCAGGAGATCCACGTGGATATCTGGTAGAGGACTAACACGGGGACTAACACACGTGTTTAGCAGGAGTTCCACGTGGATATCTGGTAGAGGACTAACACGGGGACTAACACACAAGTTTAGCAGGAGATCCACGTGGATATCTGGTAGAGGACTAACACGGGGACTAACGCACATCTTTAGCAGGGGATCCACGTAGATATCTGGTAGAGGACTAACACGGGGACTAACACACGTGTTTAGCAGAGTTCCACGTGGATATCTGGTAGAGGACTAACACGGGGACTAACACACATGTTTAGCAGGAGATCCACGTGGATATCTGGTAGAGGACTAACACGGGGACTAACACAGGTGTTCAGCAGAGTTCCACGTGGATATCTGGTAGAGGACTAACACGGGGACTAACGCACGTGTTTAGCAGGAGATCCACGTGGATATCTGGTAGAGGACTAACACGGGGACTAACACACGTGTTTAGCAGGAGATCCACGTGGATATCTGGTAGAGGACTAACACGGGGACTAACACACATGTGTAGCAGAGTTCCACGTGGATATCTGGTAGAGGACTAACACGGGGTCTAACACATGTGTTTAGCAGATTTCCACTTGGATATCTGGTAGAGGACTAACACGGGGACTAACACGGGGTCTAACGCACGTGTTTAGCAGAGTTCCACGTGGCTATCTGGTAGAGGACTAACACGGGGACTAACACGAGGACTAACACGGGGTCTAACGCACGTGTTTAGCAGACTTCCACGTGGATATCTGGTAGAGGACTAACACGGGGACTAACACACAAGTTTAGCAGGAGTTCCACGTGGATATCTGGTAGAGGACTAACACGGGAACTAACACACGTGTTTAGCAGAGTTCCACGTGGATATCTCGTAGAGCACAAACACGGGGACTAACACACGTGCTTAGCAGGAGATCCACGAGAATATCTGGTAGAGGACTAACACGGGGTCTAACGCACGTATTTAGCAGACTTCCACGTGGATATCTGGTAGAGGACTAACACGGGGACTAACACACATGTTTAGCAGGAGATCCACGTGGATATCTGGTAGAGGACTAACACGGGGACTAACACACATGTTTAGCAGGAGATCCACGTGGATATCTGGAAGAGGACTAACACGGGGACTAACACACGTGTTCAGCAGAGTTCCACGTGGATATCTCGTAGAGCACAAACACGGGGACTAACGCACGTGTTTAGCAGGAGATCCACGTGGATATCTGGTAGAGGACTAACACGGGGACTAACACACGTGTTTAGCAGGAGATCCACGTGGATATCTGGTAGAGGACTAACACGGGGTCTAACACATGTGTTTAGCAGACTTCCACTTGGATATCTGGTAGAGGACTAACACGGGGACTAACACGGGGTCTAACGCACGTGTTTAGCAGAGTTCCACGTGGCTATCTGGTAGAGGACTAACACGGGGACTAACACGAGGACTAACACGGGGCCTAACGCACGTGTTTAGCAGACTTCCACGTGGATATCTGGTAGAGGACTAACACGGGGACTAACACACATGTTTAGCAGGAGTTCCACGTGGATATCTGGTAGAGGACTAACACGGGGACTAACACACATGTTAAGCAGGAGATCCACGTGGATATCTCGTAGAGCACAAACACGGGGACTAACGCACGTGTTTACCAGGAGATCCACGTGGATATCTGGTAGAGGACTAACACGGGGACTAACGCACGTGTTTAGCAGGAGATCCACGTGGATATTTGGTAGAGGACTAACACGGGGACTAACGCACGTGTTTAGCAGGAGATCCACGTGGATATCTGGTAGAGGACTAACACGGGGACTAAAACACGTGTTTACCAGGAGATCCTCGTGGATATCTGGTAGAGGACTAACACGGGGACTAACGCACGTGTTTAGCAGGAGATCCACGTGGATATCTGGTAGAGGACTAACACGGGGACTAACACACGTGTTTAGCAGAGTTCCACGTGGATATCTGGTAGGGGACTAACACGGGGACTAACACACGTGTTTA